TAGTTTTCAATCCCCAGCAAGTTGGACATATACGTATTTTTATATGAAGTTGGTGCTAAGCCCCTGTTAAATCATTCACAAGAATAGACCATTGTGTGTTGATGCTCTAGAATGAATATGTAAAAAAAATCTAATTTAGTCAGCACAAACCTGTACTCCAGCAATTTGGAGGCTGGTTGGTGATTTATGCAGAGATAATGTGCATACAACAGCGACCTGCAGGGCAGTAATGTGCCAGCAACAGCAGTACATGAAGTGGGTTGTAAATGTATTTGTCCAGAGTTTGTAAGTTTATCCTTTGCCTTGGCTTTCCTGGCCACTCCTGTTTCGAAACAAAACCAAGAGGCAATCTGTAAATATCTTAAACTGACCTTTCCTTACTCTTTAGTTCTTTCGGTAAAGTCACGTGACTTTACCGAAAGAACCAAAGAGTATGGATTCCTGCATTCATGAAAACTTCAAAACTAGATTGACCTTTCCTCATTGATGGGAATTTGTATTAGCAAGTTATTAATATCATACAAAAACCTCAGCTCGCACTAGTCAATTAAACCTAAATATAAACTAAAAGAATATTTTATTTATACCTACGTGACTTTATCGACAGAACCAAAGAGTATGGATTCCTGCAGTCACGAAAGCTTCAAATCAAGACTAAATATAAACCTTACTTCTTTATCGCACAAAAATAAAACATGTAATGCAGCCAAGTGGCCTATATTGGCCTTCCAGACCTACTTTATCCAGTAGCCACGGTTTTGCTTTTCTGGGGCTCACCAGCATAGTCAGAAATGCTTAACAGATGCTGCTGGTTAACCAGGTGTTATTGGTAAGGGGCCATCCATTTAGTACGTACGCATGGAGGGGGGAAGGGGGGTTAACCCAAATGCGTACACTTGTGTAGTGTTGACCATGGAGACACACACTTGAACTTGGAGGCCACATGTTTATTTCAACTCCTCAACAGGGTAACTAAACTAAACGTACACTGGTTCTACTGTTAGGTGATAGCCACACGGTTAACTATGTGAGCAGCGGGTTAACTATACGAACGGGTCAGCCAGCATACACGCTGGCTGACCCACGATGCCGACCGAAGACCGAAGAGACGTAGCACCCAGGGTTGATTCCACAGACGAGCGCCGATTGCTCTCGGGGCTTCCCCTTTATCCCCCCTAGCGCGGCCACGCCCCCTTCTGGATCTTGCCAGAAGGCTCTCGGCTCCACGTCACGTGTCCCTCGAGCCCCCTTCGGCCCCCTCGCTACCCTGTCTCGGTCACGTGTCCTCTTCGGTTCACACGGAGTAGCACGTCCTCATTTGCTCTCCTCCCACCCTCACCAGAACCATGCCCCCGATGGCCAGCTTCCATGTCAACTTGTGGTCTGGTGGCAGAGAGGACTCCCTACGTGCGTTTACACTCCTGTGACAGTAGTTGGCATAGTGACACCAATAACGTCACGACACTTGCATATGGAAGGTCTACTGACAATGTACGTACGCATAGGAAACGGGGGGGGGGGGGGGGTGAAGCCTCGATAATAATTTGTCTACATTGGCCTTCAAATGAGTTAGATAGTCTGGCGATGGACTTTCTGTTTGCTTAAACACGTCAATATTATGAATCCTTGATTGTTTCTGCGTAGATTAAATATCGGCCATTCTATAGGATTGGGGGGGGGGGGGAGTTGCGTCAAGCGTACGTACGCAGGTGGGGGGGGGGGTTGTAAAAAGTATGCGCGCGGGGGTGAGGGGTCAAGTTTTGACAGATTTTTGCGTACGTGCTAAATGGATGGCCCCTAAGTGTCCTTTCTCCACTGTGAGCCATCAGTGTGCTGAATTAGCATTATGATTGATGTTACTACATTTTCTGTGGTCTTCGTGGAAACATTAAATGTTTAATATCAAGTATTCAAATTAGGGACTTTGCTTTGAATTGACGATACAATTAGTCAGTGGAATAACATTCAATGTTATTTTAATGACATCATTTCGAGATCTTTAACATCCACCTTACATCACACTGCATCCGTAGGAGATTCCCTGCAAATATAATTTGGCAGCGACAAAAACTGAATTTTTTACTCCATGTAAACTGGTACAATTGAACGGGTGCTTCAAGGCGAAATGGGAATCCAACTGAAAACTCCTTGGGCAAACATGCTTCATTGTTATAGGTACGAACCGTACCTCTCAAGCCCCTCAAGATTGTCCCATCAATGTTGTGGGTGAATAGGACTTTGCACTTCAGTACAATTCAACTTTCTCACAGAAACTGTATTACCGTATTATTCTAAAAGAAAAATATATGAAATAGTCCCTCGCCAACTGCAGGGGTTATGTTCCTGAAAACCGTCGTGGTTGGAAAAACCACGCTTGGCAATAAGGCCTTGTGGGAAATAGGGGGTTAGGGCAACTGCGGCCAGGTCACGCTCATCAAAGCCTAAGTTGCTTGTTCGTTCACTAAACACAACTAAAATGCACAAAAAAAATGTTCAAGTAAAAATAATATCATTTACCTTTAATACTGAGGGTTGAAGTCCATGGGGATGACTATGCCGTTGATGAGGTAATGGGGGAGATGCTTATGGTGGTCTCGTTAGACCCCATTAAGCATCGCACCCACGCCGCACCCCCGCCACGAGCACTTCCACTTTCTTCTCCGAGTTTTTCCGTGGCCTTTTAGCCCTTCTTTCACCTTGAGCACTCGTTGCATGCTTCGGGGGCCATTATTAGGGGCACATTTTATGGAAATAAATAATTCAAAGTCAAGAAACGAGGAATCATGCATAAGGGATACGACGTCAACACACTACATAAGAGTCACTTTGCGAGAGAGAGCGGTGGTGGTGGTGGGAAGAGAGCAGTGGTGGGAGCTGGGATATCAGACGATGCACAAAGGGTACTCTTTGGTTTTTTCAGTAAAGCCACGTAGGTAAAAAATAAAATAAATGAAAACAACTAAATTAAATCACGATGTTTCGGGCGCAACACAAGCGTCCTTCTTCTTGGTTCTTTCGGTAAAGTCACGTAGAAGGTAAATAATAAAATAATAAAAATAAAACAATAAAATGCAATTCTCACGACGTTTCGGCCACAACGCAAGCAGCCGTCCTCAGGTGAAGAACAGGTCTGTCGGAAAGACAGCGTCTGAATGAACAAATCGAAATACAAGCGTCCTTCAAGTGGGGACAATGTAGCGAAAGCACAACCGCTTAAGTGTGTCTGAAGGGAAAACTGATGCGGGTGTTTTGAAATTACAAGTGCCGGTCACCGTGCTAAACCGCGGATATACAACACCCCATACCGCGGTTAGCAAATCGGTATGCCGAAGGAAAACCGTGGATTACATAAACACACCGCGGAGGCGGAAAAAACGCAGTTGGTGAAGGATTGCTGTACTGTACATATATTGCACCCACTTCAATGTAAATAGAGGAAGTACCCATCGCTGAGTGACGGCTCACCCCCTACATCCCCATCTCCCTACCCCTGGGTGCATCTCCCTCCCCCCTCGTGCATCGTGCGTGACAACTCGGGCGAAACGATTTGGGGAAAATATCTAAATTGCGATTTTTTTGACAGATATTGTGATTACGATTTCAGTTCAATATTCACTGTGTAATAGATTTAAAACGTGATGGAGCATTACCACATGATACCATCAAAATCTGAACTGCTCTATATATTTTCTAATGCAAGGATGAGAACTTAAAATATACGAATTGCTTCCAACATGTATTTATTAAAATGTTTTTATTGAAATAGAACAATAAAACATAGAACAATTGTTAAGTTAAATTAATAACGTTGGAATAATAAAATATAAAAAAATTCCAATAAGAAAGTAATAGGACTTTTCAGATCGCAAAAAAATCGCAGCCTTTGCGATTTGCTAATCGCATTGTTTCAAATTGAAGAATTCATCGATTTGAAATCGTTCAGCCCTCGTGACAACCCCCGGCGCTCGCCTCCCTCAGCCCCTCAGTTGCACACCCCTCTCCCACCCTCGCCGAGTGACCGCCCCTCCCCTTGCCTGCCCCCACCTCCGGCCCCCACCTTAATCCCCTCTGCTCTGCCCCACGTGCTGGGCACGCATGGGCATTGCTCGAGTGCCGGGATAGCCGCGTGCTGACCTCTTCGCGCTCACGAAATGAAGGGGGGAGGGAGCCAATGACAAGGCGCGCTGGGCGGCGCGTGCGTGACCTCCAGCCAATGAAAACGCTGGACGTATACATACAAATTCCAGTTTGTCCATACAAGCCAACATGTAATTGATTGTCGAAAAGTTATAACACCAATTCTTAAAATTAGTACATCAGCCATTAAGTTGTTCAGTATTTACCATTAACTGGCTCTTTATACTGACACACAGTTTATTTTCACTTGAGTTAATGATTAGAAAAAAAAACTATTTTCCATTGAATAATTCCATAGCTGTTACTTTTTGAAGGCAATATTGACTGATTTTAACACTCTTAATATAGCTGGTTGACTGGTTATGAATTTCGCAAGTTAAAATCCCATTCGGGGCTAACTTAACCTATCATCCCTCTAAAGCCAATAAAATAGGTACCACTTGGTTGAAAGTCAACAGTGGCTATCCTATGGAGAGACTGGTTACAGCTATAGGAATGTCTGATATTTCTTGATCTGCAAAATATAAACAATCTTTTTCCATCACTGGCTCAGAGCCACCAACAGAGATGAGCACACTTTCTTGGGCATGGACCATAGAGACACTTGCTTATTTGAGAATGGGAACGGTCTGACTCGTAACAATCATCCTAACAACACAGCCATCTATTGAACAACTGCCCACTGCGCTAATTCCTTTGAAACATTTCTTCAAAATTCACTCCGCGTCTCCCAATGCTCTTGACTTGGTATCAGAACTTAACATTACACCGTAACCTTGTTGCTATTTCTCCATACCACACAGACGCCATTGTAACACAGTTGCAAATTTTTCTCTCGCTTTCTTTCTGCAAAAAAACTAAAGATCTTCCAGCTTTATTGGAGTGTCTGGCCGGCTGCCTACGCCTCCATGAGATAACTCTGGATGGAAACCCCATGCAAAACCACCCAGACTGGAGGTAAGCTATGCCCACGGAGCACTTTACGCATGCGTTTGCATAGGAGGGGTTATTGGGGTAGATTGTTGCATGTCTCGCTTGAGTAAGCACTCACGCACTGGGAGGCCAATTAGGATCGTCTCCAAGGGATGCAATTGGTCTGGTGACTGCAATGAGCAAGCTGCGTGGGTCAGTGGAAGTCCTCCCCTCCCCACCCATTAAATTCATTAACCTCCTACCGGCAGGGAAAATTAACACTGGGCTGTTAACACATGATCCTTTGACATGAGCGATGAAAGCAAGCTGCACGTTTTTGCTGGACTTTGCAGGAAAACCGTTAAATATTATCCTGAGACTCTTTATAAAGTATGATACATCTCCCATTGTCTCCAGAATATATGGATTGCTTCTATTGTATATTCGCAGCTTCTTCAACTTCGTGTCTGCCTGTGTACGTGTAAAGGAATATAAGTTTAAAAACATTTGCATACATTTTGCTTGCATTTATGTTTCAAGCCACTCCATCATGGCTGAGGAATTACAGTTTTGACCCATTTTAAGTACTGAGGCTAAGTACTGAGGCTAAGTACTGAGGCTAAGTACTGAGGCTAAGTATTGAGGCTAAGTACTGAGGCTAAGTACTGAGGCTAAGTATTGAGGCTAAGTACTGAGGCTAAGTACTGAGGCTAAGTACTTAGGCTAAGTACTGAGGCTAAGTACTGAGGCTAAGTACTGAGGCTAAGTATTGAGGCTAAGTACTGAGGCTAAGTACTGAGGCTAAGTATTGAGGCTAAGTACTGAGGCTAAGTACTGAGGCTAAGTACTGAGGCTAAGTACTGAGGCTAAGTACTGAGGCTAAGTACTGAGGATAAGTACTGAGGCTAAGTACTGAGGCTAAGTACTGATGCTTTAAGGTGAACTTTTCTACAACAATATCGTGGGCATTGATGAGGAAATGGGCTATTGCATTTCCATGATTGGTGTCATAGGTGGCAATAGGAAGGTACAATGTGGCGATACTCGAGGACCTGGTAAATATCGACATTCATTTGCATAATTCAAAGGGTTTTGAGAAAAATGTCAAGAGCAAATATTCCAAACCTTCGTGTCCAAAGGTTACTGTACGGGTCGGAGGGCAGCCCTAAAACAGAAAGGAATCTTTTGGCCTTTGAGAATAAGTGCATGTGGAGGATGTGATAATTTCTTGGCGGAACAGAGTAAGCAACTTGGAAGTTTTTTAATGGAATGCAGTAGGAGAGCAATGTAGATGTAATAAAATTAGGTATTTTAGAGTATTTGGCTACTATACATTTCCACGTGATAAGGCACTTTGCTATAATTCGTGGCTAGGTCGCTTCTGATAAAGAGCTGTATAATTCAGTGGGCCTTACCTGGTAAAATAAAAATAGTTAATTTACTTCATAGTTTTAGGTGCTACAAAATATAAATATTTATTTCACATTTGTAAATCCGAAAGGTATTCAGTCAAAAGTATTTATCCACTCAAACAAGCATAGGACAATGCTCATCTTTCTGATATTTCCTCGAGTCAGTGATGAAAATTTCACGATCATTACCCTAACTGAGATGTGAACTCTCACACATCTAATTGTGATGTTCTAGATTTGGAGCTTTCGTGACTGCAAGGATTCATACTCTTAGGTTTTTTCGGTAAAGTCACGTAGGTAAAAATAAGAAATAAATAATAATAGAAATAAAATAATAAATCACGACGTTTCGGAGGCAACACAAGTCTCCGTCATCAGGTGGGATTTATTTTTATTTTTACCTACGTGACTTTACCGAAAAAACCTAAGAGTATAATTGTGAGGTGTGTGCTATTGCCACAGCAGCACCCACTCAGTTCCAAAAATAAATAGTATGTTTCGTGTTTTATTTTATTCATGGTATGTGTACACAATCAGAATGAGAATAGAAAAGGTGAGCCCTGCTCTGCGCATACTGGATGGCCAGACGGTCGTAAGCACGGACAAGAGGAGCCTAACACCACCAGCCTTCTCCAGCCTCTGCCAGGCCCAACTGGAAGAGTTTCAGCGCTTGTCCCAAGGGTACATGACCACAGCACTCGCGTAAGTTCATCATCATCAATCATTGTCACAATACTACATGTATTTCATTAATAATGCAGGAAACCGTAGTCAGGGTTTTAACAAGTCAATGTTTCCACGTTCGGATGAGTATGGGTCAGCACCCATCTTGTTGGGGGCCCTCTGAGCCATTGGTGGTAATTCTGTATTCCCATGGTGGGAGACACGAGATACTCGTTTCAGGCCAATCACTGCCTTCCTATAAAGTGATGCTCGAGTTATTGACACTCGAGGGATTTTAACTCATGACCTTCTGATTACGAGATGGGTGCTCTGCTCCAGTGCCACTTGGTTGAATATAACAATAAATGCATCAAAGGGCAGTCTCATCTGTATGTTTTTTTGTATGAGCACCATTCTGTGAAGTCAACAGTGGCTGTGTTTTTGGATTTATTAATTTATCTCATTACCATTTGCTGTATGTCTACTTTACTATGGCTTTTATGTTAAGAGTTACAAATTCCCGTGACTAAATGGTGTCGATTCATTTCTATCGCAGGCAACTAAAGACCATGTCGCGGCCACCAAATGTTGTGGATTTAATTTCCAAGCAGCTCGAGGAGGCGTCTAGGCTAGCAGAAGAGCATCGCTATGCTCAGGAATATGGAGAAATGGGCAGCCTTTCAATCGAACCCACGGTCGACAATGTTCAAACTGAAAATCGCATCTCCAGTGCAAAGCTATCGCCTGCACAGAGTCAGGAGACGAATGGTGAAGCTTCCAGCATTGCAATACTCGCGCAGCAGCTTTCATCGAATCTTGAAAACACGTGTCCAACGAAAACAGCAGGCGGTTCAATCACCGATGCCCGTCTGCATGAAACCAGCCCAGGTTTCGCACGCGATGAAGGTAAAACCGGAGCTCATTCCCCGGGCGCTGGGAGAAATGTGGATGGGTCAGGTTCACAGCGACGGGAAACGGAGTCCCAAAAGAGTCAACAGAGGGAGCTGTCGCTGCAAGTCGACGGAAGGCAGAGACAGCGGAGTGCGGGCGCTGTTGCTTGTGGCCAGCAGAGGGAAACAGGTGAAGAGGTTTGCGGACCAGTTTCGAGCCAGCCGAAGGCTTCTGCCACCACTCGGGTGGCTGTGAAAGCCAGCCATGTTGGCAACTTAATGGAGAAAGCAAAACAAAGCACTTTGGCCGAGTGAGTATTTTCATGTTTTTTATTTCTCTTTTTATGAATTTTTTTGAAATCGGAAACTCTCTGGTAGCAGCTTTCCTATGCTAAGTTCTTGCTGGGCATTTCGCCGTATTGCGTCTAATGTTATCATAGTTATGTGGGTGTTATTATCTGCATTGAAACATGTATTATTGGTGTAATAAAGTCTTTTAGTCACTAAATTTGGCATGAAGTGACCATTTAATGAACCTCAAAATTTCAAAAGACAGTCTGTTTTTACTCATTTGTTTTGGTGTATACTTAGATTCGTTTTGTTGTATTCACTTATAAACGAAATTTATCGTGTAAGTTATTAAATGACTTAAATAATTGCCTTGATCTATTTGACACAGCGATACTGTGATGTAAAGAAACAGCCGGACTATTTGTTTTGGCTCATGAGCTATTTTTGTCAGTAATTTTTCTCAATTCAGAAACATAGTTTTACATTTGCGATTACATATATTTTTTAATATACGGTGTATTAATTCGTTCTGCTATAATTATGATTTTTTTTATAATTGTTCACGAATAACAAAAGTGAAACTTCAAAGAATTCCTGGAAAGTTTTGTATATTTAATGCATTTACATCCTGTGGTGCTTTACATTATAGATGGTAAAATTACATATCTCAATATTGCAAGGTTAAAATAAAGTAATGTTTTGGATAATCTCTCATAGGTATTATATTTTTGGCAAATAATGTAATGATAAAGTAATTACCTAACTTTCGCTTTCACAACTTTCCCATAAAAATTGTGAAGTAAAACTAGATGCAATCAGATGCAAAGTATACGTAGGCAGAATTACGTGTGTTTCGTTTTTAATAATACCATATATAAAACCGATATCTTACCAAAGAGACACCTGTCAAATGTTTTTTTTCCCTACAGTTAAATGAATTAGATACAGTATTCAGTCCTTAATGTACATTTTATTTTCTTGAAGATTAAATGTTTTATTAAAGGCGTATTCTTCATTTGAAATCACCATTGTAAGTAGCGTTACGTGTAGTTGTGTGTATATATATACAATCAAGTGCTGTATTTTATAGTTAATAATAATAAAACATTTTTATCCAGGTAGGTCTACAATTTATATACTAAATATTAGTTTGCCTTTATGGAATTTCAGTAATGATATGTTTGTGTTACATGTCTGATGGCGCATTCTAAGTTTATATACAAACAAACTTGTACATTATATATATTATTTGCTGCTTAAACATTCACTTATTATTAAGCTAAATTATCCCCCTGATGAATTGGATATTGTGGTGGTGCTCTCTGCTGCTGACCATGAGAGGGTATTGGAAATTCCACATTGCTGTGCCAGCAGCCAGTCTCAACATTAGAGTGATAAAGAGCAGATTCAACTTCCCAACCAGGATTAGTATGCGCAGCCTTCACATACAGTACACGGTCTGTTACCTTTAACTCACTAAATACACCACGGGGGAAACATGAGCAAACATATTAAACTAAATTACTGAAAATTCGGCTCTCGGTATTACTGAAGCCTCTCCCACGTTCTTGTTGTCAGCCCGTAACTTCCCACTGCTGGGCAACGGCCTCCCCGATTTTCTTCCATTCATTCGTTCCCTTCCTTGTTGCTCCCATCCTCGTCGTGGCCTCCGAACTCTGATGTAGTCGTCGCACTGCTGCCACTGCTGCTGTCTCTTCCGCTCTCTTCCACGGCTTGTTTTGCCTTGTCTTGGGTACCAAGTCGCACATTTAAGGCAGCTTTTATTTAGCAAGCCTGACTCTGGTGACGAGAACCAGTCGGTAGAAAGCAATCCAGAGTTTGCTTACCCAACCACTGTGCTTGGTAATATTGGTCGACAAAGCCAATACAGTAGGCTGATGGGCGAAATAGTATTTTTACGGCAAGACACAGAACAGCGTCTGCTTATGTAACCCGCGGTGTTCCACAATGAGACATAGTGAGTTTATATACATGTAAACAAAAGTTGTAAGAGAGTGAAACGTGTGGGTATTAATCTTGTCGAGTTAACTTTGAGCTCTGCTTCTTGTACTCATAACGCTTCTCCACAGCAACGCCTAATGAGTTTGCGTTGGATAATTCTACCATGAACAGTGAACGGCCTCGCGTAACATTGTGCCCTGGCGCCCCCAAAAACACCGTCTCGTTCTTTTCCTCCCGCCTCCCCCCCCAATCGCCCCTTGCGCAGCTTCGCAGCCACGGCCGTGCAGGCGCGCTGGAGGGGCTACCGTCTCCGTCGGGAGCTGCGGCGCCGGCAGGCGGCTGCCTCGATCATCCAGGCCTCGTGGAGGGCACGGAGGGTCAGGAGGGCCCTGGCTCAGAGCACCCAGGCAGCCACGGTCACGGCCACTACACGATCTCGGCCAGCCACCCTGACTCCCCCCGTGCGTACATCCCAGCGGGAGATGGCAGCAACAGCAGGGCAGAGGAGGCAAGGTGGAGCCACTGTCATACAGGTAGGTCGACAACGCCCCCCAGGTTATTATTTGTTATCACGGTTGCGGAGTGCAGGCTCGATGGCCCAAAATGCTGAGTGGTCAGCAACAAACAGCGCTCTTCAGGTTAAATAGATAAGCGTTCATATCCATATTAGAGGTTATTTGGGTTAGATCGCGCAAATATATAATGTGTCGTTAAAACCCGCCACCACCCGACACGGCCAACTAGTAAGGGTTGTTATGTAAACAGAACGTGCCAATTCGTCACTAGTACAGCACTAACCGGTGTGTTGGAGAGCCAAGTCACAACATGTACAATGTGGCTTGGCTCTCCAACACACCGGTGTGCTGTACTATTGACGAATTGGCATGTTCTGTTTACGTGACAACCGTTACTCGTTGGCTGTGTCGGGTGGTGGCGGGTTTTAACGACACATTTATATATTTACGCGATCTAACTCAAAAAAACCTCTTATGGATGATATTGGTCGCGAAAGCTTACGTGTTAAAGCGTTAATATGTTTCTTTATTTTTAGCAAACTTTGATAAGAACTTGCCAAAATAAACTATGAGAGGTAATTCCAAAGCCGAGCAGTGCAATGGAAGAAGCAGACAATGCAGGTCCAAGTGTTGTGGACCTGCGTTGTGGTGGTTAAGCACAGCCTGGCTGAGATGAACAGTCAGTCTGATAGAACTGAGTCCTCAACATGGGTGGAGAAATCAACGTGTGAAGTTCACAGGAACCATGGTAGTCGCGAGAGAAGAGTCGTAAGATGTTGCCGTGTTTTAGACATCAGTGCCGCCCTCTTGTAAGCGATGCTCATGCCCATAATTGTCCTTTTTTTGGGTACTTGGAACGATCATTGACCTGAGTTTAAACACAAATAAGCAAAGAGTCAGCACACTATACATGTTTATATGTTTTCTGTTATAAGGCAATGCAAATGATTAGTGTGGTGATTTTATCTGTGTTTGTACACCACTGCCTTGCGTTTTTTTGTTAAATGTGTAAGTGTAACATGTTTGTTATTGAGGATTATTGTGTTAAAACGTTCCTTAAATAGTAATTCGCCAAATATCTCAGTGTAACATCATCCGTAAAAAAATAGTCTACAGACTCGACGATGGTTTCTTGAATCAACAAATGACGACATAAATGACATAACCCATCCAGTTAGAGCGCCGGGCTCGCAATCGGGTGGGTACGAGTTAGAGAGTACGATCTAGGAGTCGGCTCAGTCGGTCATTCCTCCTCCGGGTTTGATCAAATCAGTACCATTTAATGGTAAGCCAACAGAGGTTGTTGGCAGACAGTAATTTGATGTTGGCCCCTGCCATGGGCATGTGGCATGAGCACTTCTGGCTCTAAGCAGCCAATAGAGATGCTTGTTTGAGGAGGGAAACACTTTGCCTTTGTATCACCGTGTTATATTCAAACATCCATTGCAGAAATAAATAAGGGCACACAATCTCATATATACAGACATAACAACAATAGTAAAAAAATGTCAACAACTGTGTAAAAAGTAAAAGCCTGGTAGGTTCGGAGTGCATTGCGCAAACCGCCGCGTTTCAACTCCACTTTACATACAAACAAATACACATTTAATTAAAATGTAGGCATATATTCACACAAAATAAATTGTGTATAATTTTATTAATTGAAATGTGTACATGCAGGTTTATATATATATATAAGTCTGCTGTCCTGCATATTTTGCCAAGGCAAAATATTGATCTTGAAGGCCAGTTAGCCAAATGGTTATTTTTTTTCCTTTCAGAAAACAAACTCAGATTTTTTTTTTGGTGAGATATATATACATATGTTTTCTAAAGAAGACCACCTGGCTAAAACGTCAAGATCTCCTTTTCTTCCCAGTGAGCAACACTTATTCCTGTTTTTGGTTAAACCTGATCAACTACATACATCGATATTTAAGCATATAAACCACATGCGCGCACACACAAATAAAAATATCTCCCGTGTAGCCTTAAAAGACTGTGGGGGCAAGTGGTGTTAGCGAGCACCTCTGAAGGCGGGCACGGCACACGAGGGGTTGCGTGGCCAGCCTCACGTCTGGCTGCCTTTGTCTCCCCCGATGGCAATATTTACACACAACACCAGGTATTCATTTGAGGCTGAGTCGACTTAGGGGAGGCCCAGGACCGGTTCAAATTATCTTCACTGATGTCGGCCGTGAGTGGGAATTGAACTCGAGTCGCTGGGCTTGTAGCACAGTGTACTAACCGCTGTGCCACCGCTCCCTACACATATATACAAAGACAAAGATCCCCCATGTAGTCTTAACAGACTGTTTGGGCAAGTGCTGTTAGTGAGCACCTATGAAGGCCGACACAGCACACAAGCGGGTGGGTGACCAACACCACGCCTGGCCGCCTTTGTCTCCCTCGGAGCAATATTTACACACTGCATCAGGTACTAATCTTAGGCTGTGTCGACCTAGGGGAGGCCCAGGAACCGGTTCTGATAATAGTCACTGGTGTTGGCCGTCAGTGGGAATCAAACTCGGGTCGCCGGGTTCGTAGTGCAGCGCACTAACCACTGACAATCCACACACATATACACACGCACAGTACTCCTGTATGTATGTATGTTGAAATTATTTTGCACCAAATGTAAATCGGAGGTGCGGGAATATATATGTAGCAGAAAACATGTCACCCTTCTCAAAACGAATACAGAATGGGACTCAACTCCATAAGTGGCAATGGTGGAATTTCTACATTCCCATGGCAGATACCATTTTTATGCATTGGCTGATCAATGTTTACTTCCCACAAAGTAGTGCTCATTTCATCAACCGGGGGGGACAATGAGCTGTATTATTCACCGACCGTGATCCGAATGTGCAACCTTTCTGAATCCAAGTCAATTGTTAACCAATCTTGGCCGTATATGTCCAGGTGTATCCTATGTAGTACATGAACACATAGGCGCATATATCATCCAGTGATATCTTCTTGTAGCGCATGGCGAGTCTATGTAAATTATACGTCCAGGTTTAAGTTTGTGAACCACGTGATAGCTTTGGGAGAAGCGCGACTAATATTGTCCAGCGGAGAGCAAGCGTAGAATGCAGTCGTCGTTTGCGATACGGTCCATTGTCTGGCTTGGGTCGCCGCAAGTCGTACTGTGGGTCATCTTTAAACTTCCTACTCGTGGAAGGGGTTTGCACAGTAACCGGTCGCTGATCTAAAGCAGTTGATGGAGCCACCACAGTTTTCTTGGCAGATCAAAGCCAAGCGTAGCAAGTGGTGGTGCCCTCGTTGAAGCTTTTATTAGGAACCTTGGCAAAACTCCACAGCATTTGCCAGCGGTCTTCAGTTAACCCCGCTACATTTGGTTGTCTCGTGTGGCGATCCCAGGTTGGTTTCCGGGATCTCAAGCGAGTTCGTGGAGGGTCAAGCAGGTCTTGGTGTAGCGATAATAACATTGCATTTCAAGCTGCACAAAGAGATGACATCACGGGGCACATTATGTGTGACATCACGAGGTGACGTCACGCGTAACGATGGCATCGGGAGGGGAGGTGGAGCAGATGCATGAACCTAAATCGTCATGGCGGACACTGAGGCGAATATTTTCAGTGGTGGTTTTTGGTGTCAAAGTTTTGGGAAAGTCTTTAGTCAATTTGGCAAGTTTTCCATGCAGTAGGCCCCAATGAGCAAAACAATGTTCTACTGAAGTTTAGTTCTGATTGGATCACCTTCACGAGAATTATCATGCCCCAACATTACAGACAGAGATGACAGTGCTAACACAAACACTTTCGACCTTAGTTGCAAAGTGTTCAATGTAAAATGCTTATTCCAAAACGGAGATTAATTAATTGCAGATAGAATGTTACGAAATATTTATGTTGCTGAAGGAAAGAAATATTGAACAATTAATTGTAGTCCTGACAGAGAAAATGTAAATTCAAAAATTTTTTCCCACATCCATTTTAAGTCTCTGGTATTTTCACTGCATGAGAAATTGGCTCATTCACTAAGGTTACTTCTTTTTTTTAAGCAAAAAATACCAGGGGTATACATTTACTCTGGGAAAGATAAAATATGTGGAGTAAGTGAGGGTATTCCACCATTGAGACTTCATTAGGACCTTTGAAATGGCTATCGGTCAAAACATTATATGTTTGAATTTTTGTTAGCTTAATACCATTGGAATATTGTATGTCACTTTCGGTTTAATAATAAGCATTTTTATTATCGTTACACATTTTGCAATTACAGACATTTCTCATGTGTATGTGCGTATATGTGCAGCACAGTTTAGACGGGATTTATAAAATATTTACACTGCTTAATATGCATTTAAAATATATAAATGCATACTTAATTTTCGAATTAATATTTAGGTAAATTAATGTTTCATAATCGTAAGGCTCTGAGTTAAAATTCCAGTTAGGTGTCGAAACAGATCATCATGCTCTTGGGTTCGATAAAATGAGTACCACCTTTTGAGAAGTCAGAATTGGTTGTCCACTGGATAGACTGGCCATTACCGTAATGTGGAATTTCCACTGCTAACTCAGGGTTGCCGCGTGGAATTGAGCATTGCCCCATAATTGTTTTATTCGGGAAACACTTCAGCCGGCCAGGAGGCTTAGCACAGAGCGAACGGCTCGCAATCGGAAGGTTGCGAGTTCAACTCCTGGTAGGAGGTTGACTCAGCCCATCATCCCTCTGGTGTGTCGATGCAATAAGCAATTACCTATTCGTGGGGATGTCAACGGCAGCCGTTATTTGGTTGGGCTCTTCACCACCATGGGAATGTGGAATTGCCACCACTGCTCAACGTTCATTTGAGCAGGAAATTACTTTGAGTGAAAAGATTTGGCTTTGAACAGAGCTAGATTTGAAGCTTTCGTGACTGCAAGGATTCATATTCTTAGGTTTTTTCGGGAAAGTCACGTAGGTAAAAAATTACAATTAATAAAAGTGACGGTTCCACCTGAAGACTGAAGCTTGTGTTGCCTCTGAAACGTCGTGATTTT